GCAGAGGGGCAGGGGGAGCATCCTGTGGTCCCCCCACCCCGCTGCCCTGCCAGCCTCGATCCCTTGAAGCAGCAGAGCAAACTAGACCTCAAAAAAAAAAAAAAAAAAAAAAAAAAAAAGAAAAACGAAGCCCAAAAAAAAGGGAGGGAAAAAAAAAAAAATTACCCCGCAGCCCCCAGCAACACCCCGAAAACAGGAACCACCGAGCCCACAGTGCCCCGGCAGTGCAGCAGCACATCTGTGAGTTCAGAGAGTGGAACTTAAATATCCAGAGGTAGTTGTGAATGAAAAGAAAAAAAGTACTAAAAAAAAAATATATATACCAGAACCTATGAGGAAAGGGCTGCTGGAGCCAGACCCACTTGGGTACCCCTGGGGAYGGGCACCCCCAGAGACTGGCACCCCTGGGGATGGGCACTGGCCCCCAGGAGCTGCTCCCGCACACAGTGCAGTCACCCAGCACTGGGGGGACACGGGGGGCTGCCCAGGGTAGCAGCAGGCCAGAGCAAAGGTCTAATGCATTTGGGGGGGGGTCTCACCTTCACTGCCCCCGTCTCTTCCCTGCGGAGGCCCCAGGGCAGAGCCCGGTGCTGGGGGGCAGCCAGCACCCACTTTGGCGGGGTGAGATCACTGCGTGGAGGGCAGTGAAGGTGGGAGGTCCCAGCTCCGACCCTCTGCCATCACCCCCCTTTCCAGTGGGGCTGCCCCGAAGCGCGGGGCTGGGGAGGGGGAGCTGGGGCGGGTGCCCCTCCCGGGCGGGGGCTGCGGGGGCCGCCCAGGTCGGGCCATTTTCCAGTGCTGCCGTTGTCTGAGGGTGAGGAGGGAGCGGAGGAGGGAGGAGGAGGAGGAAGCCAGGGCGGCACGGTGGGTCTCTCCCCGTCCCTCTCCCCCGGCGCCGCGGGGCCGTCGGGCGATGAGGTAGCGCCGGTTCGGGAGGTGTCACTGCTCCTCCTCGGATGACTCCTGGGAAATGTTCACCTCCTCCTCGTCCTGCTGCTGCAAGGCAAGGGAAGGCGGCCGGGGGGTGTCAGGGAGGGCAGCGCCGCTCTGCTGCCCCCGGATAAAGGGCTGACCAGGCACCACACCCCCCTTGCGCAATGAGGGAAACTGAGGCACAGCGCCCKCATGGGTTTGAGGACTGGCCCTGTTGCAAATTAATGCCAGGTGAGAAGCCTGGGGGTGGGCTCACAGTGAGGAGCGGTGACCACACACCCTGCGTGCAGAGCAGCTCTGAGTTTAGGACCGCGATCCAATCCCAGTGCCACCGGATCCCCAGTGGCCACCGGGGGGGTGGTGGCAGCCCCGGCTGTCCGTGTCCGGCCCCGGCTGTCCGTGTCCGGCCCCGGCTGTCCTGTCCGGCCCCGGGTGTCCCCATGCAGCCCCCAGGCCGGGGTGGGCGGCCGTGACCCCGCACGCGGCGGTGACTCAGGGCTGAGTGAGCCTGAGTCACGCCAGCCCCCGCTTCCTCCCGCTCCATTCACAAAAAACGCCACCGCGCCTGCCAGAGCGGGACACCGCGTCCCCGGCACGGCCCCGCTGGCACAGGACCGGCTCCTCCCACGCCACTCCCCCCCGCCGCTGGCTGCTCGCCYTGGGGTCCCCGAACGGCCCCGGGCACTGCGACACCGGCACGGGGGACCCCGGGACGCSACCGCGCCTCTCAACGCCTCGGCTGCGCAAGGGATTGTGGTGGGAAAAGGAGCAAAATCTGGGACTGGCAGGGGAGGGAGATGAAACTGTCGGGATACCTGGCACCCGCCTGAGCTGTGAATTGAGGGGGAAAGGAGAAAAAATGGAATGGGGGAGRGAAAAGCTCGGGGAAGGAAGGGGGAGACTGTGCCTGCAGGCTGCAGGAATGCCATGCAGGGATCCTGGAAGGTGTGTGCCAGCCCGTGCCAGGACAGGACTGACCACCCAGTGCTGCTTTTGGGCCCATGGGGATGTGGGGGGGTCGGGACTGCTCAGATCCCCAGCCCAGAGGGTTCAGAGCCCTCCCTGTGCCATGCTGTGTCCTATTCTYTCACTGCCCTGTGCTCCTCCAGCCRAACCTACCCCACACTCATGGGGCTCTCTGGGGAGGTGCTGTGCCCCYGCAGTGCCCAGCTCCCTGCCAGGTTGCAGAGAGAAGGGAAAAACCCCACTCACCGTTTTTTTGGGTCGCCCTCGAGGTTTCCTCCCTGGTGTGACTGCAGCTTTCTGAGCAACAACAAAAAAGGGCATTTTGGTCGGGCTGTCCCCAGGATGGGTGGGCGGCGTTCCCCTTCCTCCCACCCACCACTGCTGGATTCATCATCCCAGTGGCATCTCCTGGGGTGCTGCTGCCAGCCCCCCAAGCCCCCGAGCCCCCGGGATGCCCCGTGACTCACGAGGTGGGTACAGGATGTGAGTCGCATGTTTTGCAAACAGGTTTATCACGGCTGTCCTGTGCTGACACACATCCCCGGCTCCCTCYGCCCTCCCTGGGGGCCACTGCCCAGCCCCCCTCCCCTCCCAGCAGCAGATCTACCCCGAATTGTCCATCTTTGAGCTCAAACCGGACCTGTGGAGCCAGCACCCAGCTGGAGCAGCCCCATCCCCAGGTACCTACCCTSCCCTTTGTGGTGGCCTTGTTTTTACTGCCCTTCGGCCGTCCACGGGGTCTCTTGGGGGTCGGGGCCTCGCTGGGCTCCTGCTGGAGGGAGAGCAGAGCGGGGTTGCAAACCCAGAGTGGTGTCCAGTGCACCCCGGGATGCTCCAGACTGGCAGTCCCCTTGTCCCCAGCAGACCCTGCCAGGGCAGAGGTGCTCTTGCATGCGGTACTGGGAGCACTGGTCACACTGGGATTGGCGATCAGGCGCCAGGCACAGGCTCCTGGCTGTCCTTCAGCCGGGCATGCCTGACCTTTTCCACCCCCAGCATCACCCACTCGGCTCAGCTGGATGGCACCCAAGCCCCCTCAGCCCAGACCCCGCTCGCTGCCGGTGCAGCAGCCAAGGAAGTCTCAGGGAAGCCACAAATCACCTTTTCTGCAGGAAAACGATGTGCACAAACCCCACCTGCCTCGTTGGGGGGGGGCTGAGCGGGGTTTGGTACTATAAAGGCTCCAGCAGCATCTTATCTCTCTGAGCAGCTTTTGCTAATGGGGCTTTAATTAGCCCGTCTGCAAAGGCGGGTTCAGCACAGCCTGGGGAGGGGCAGGGCAGGGCAGGGCCAGGAGCTCTGCGGTGCTGAAAAACTGGGGGGACTCTGGAGCACCCCAGGAGGGTCTGGTGCGGGTGAGCCCTGGGGAGGTGCTGCCCAAAGGGGGTGATGGGGCTGCACTGGGGGTGTCCCCACTCTCACCCTGGGGTGCAGGTGGTGGGATTTCCTGTTGCCCCATACCCTGGGGACATTCCCAACCCCATCCAGGAGTGCACGTGTGGGGGAGTTTCCTGCTGCCCCATACCCTGGGGGTGTCCCCACTCCCACCCTGGGGTGCAGGTGTAGGGGGATTCCTACTGCCCCATACCCTGGGGGTGTCCCCACTCCCACCCTGGAGTGCAGGTGTGGGGGGGAAGTTTTCTGCTGCCCCATACCCTGGGGATGTTCCCAACCCCATCCACAGGAGCAGCTATGGGGTAGTTTCCTGCTGCCCCATACCCTGGGGATGTTCCCAACCCCACTCAGGAGTGCAGGTGGCAGGGTTTCCTGTTGCCCCATACCCTGGGGGTGCCCAGCCCCACACAGGGGTGCAGGTGTGGGGGAATTCCTGCTGCCCCATACCCCGGGGATGTCCCCACTCCCACCCCAGGGTGCAGGTGTAGGGGGGGGTTTCCTGCTGCCCCATACCCTGGGGGTGTCCCCACTCCCACCCTGGGGTGCAGGTGTAGGGGGATTCCTACTGCCCCATACGCTGGGAACATTCCCAACCCCATCCAGGGATGCAGGTGTGGGGGGAACGTTTTCTGCTGCCCCATACTCTGGGAATGTTCTCAACCCCACTCAGGAGTGCAGGTGGCAGGGTTTCCTGTTGCCCCATACCCCGGGGACGTTCCCAACCCCATCCAGGGGTGCAGGTGTGGGGGATTCCTGTTGCCCCATACCCTGGGGATGTCCCCACTCCCACCCCGGGGTGCAGGTGTAGGGGGGGTTTTCCTGCTGCCCCATACCCTGGGGGTGTCTCCACTCCCACCCTGGGGTGCAGGTGTGGGGAGGTTTCCTACTGCCCCATACCCCAGGGACATTCCCAACCCCATCCAGGGGTGCAGGTATGGGAGATTCCTGCTGCCCTGTGCCCTAGGAACCCCAGCCCCCCCTTCCTCACGGGGGACCCCACGTACCTGCGGCTTCTTCCTGGGCCGCCCTCGGCCCCTCTTCTCCGACACGTCTTTCTCCCCCTTGGAGGCCAGGGGCTGGCTGGATTTGGCGCTGGATTCACTCATCGTCTGTCCCGGCAGCGGTGAGGAAGAGCAGGAGGGAGGAAGGTCAGTCAGCCATGGCTCTGGCTCTCCATGCCAGCCGTGCCATCCCCCTGSCCTCACCCCGGCCCGGTGACAGATGCCACCTGCATCCTCCCAGCTCCGTCTGGGGAGCAAACTGTGCCACCCCGCAGGACCAGCCAGTGCCCAGCGCTCAGGCAGCTCCTGGGGTCCCCTCAGCTTTTGGGGAGCAGCAGTTTGGCCAGCCCTTCCTGTAGAGCCTGGCTCCTTTCCTCAAAAAAAGGAGAGTGGCTCCAGATTTAATCCGGAGTCCTCRAAATCCCAGATKTGCTACAGGATGASTGGTGGYACTGAGAYCTTGGGCACRTYCCCRGYGGGGTGCCAGGGCCCTGGAGYGGGGTTCAGGGTCCTGCAGYCCTGCTCCCACCCCACCCTGGGCACTGCTGCACCCCTGCTCCTGCCACCCAGCTGSGATTAGGGACAGGCCACTTGTCTTGGGGACACCTCGTTGTCACCTCCCCTGTGCATGTCCCAAAGGGCTGGGCAGCTCTCCCTCGCTCTTGGAGAAATCTCACAAAGGAAAAGGCTCCATCTTCCCCTCTCCACCTCGCTGCTTCCCAGGGGCACAGGGAAAACCTGCTTTTCCAGAGCGGCGGGGGTGGCTCCGTGCCCAGCTGCCAGCCCGGGAGGATGGGCTCCTGGCGGGAAGGAGCGGGATCGCTGCCACAGCCCCGGCGCTCRCTGGTGACCCCACACAGGGCCAAGTGACCGTGGCCACGCTGGGGACASCGGCCCAGAGTGGGGATGTGAGCAACAGAGGCAGGTCCGAGGTTGTGTGCCCGCTCTGTGTGCGCTGGCAGTCACCCTCCTACCTCTGGGATAGCCCCTCCTACCCCGGGATAGTAACGCTCGATTTGGAGGASCTGCTCCCACTTTGGAGGAACTGGAGCAGCCAGGACAGCGGGGCCATGGGGGGCAGAGGGTGCTGAGCCCCCCGGGACACTGAGCCTCACTGGGGAGGGTGTGGGCAGCACAGGCAGCGTGAGGAGCCGCACTCAGACCTCTGAGCCTTCTCAAAAAACAGGCGTCAGCTCCTGCTCCCCTCTGGAAGTGACTCATGAGTGCAGAACAACAACAACAAAAACCACCCTCGGAGTCTTTTCTTTTTTTTTTTTTTTTTTTTTTTTTTTTT